ACTTTACTGGAGCAGACTGAGTGTTGTCGACTGCTGTGTCCCACCCAGGACTTGGGCCTGCAGCCATCTGAGTCCAGGCTTGTCCACTCTTCCCCAGACCGGGGGACACGGCAGCGCAGATGAGTGTGTTCTTTCTGTGTCTCCCCTCCAGTACGCCTGGATGCAGCCTGTTACGGGACCCCAGGGCTCCTGACTGAAGGACTGTGGGTTCATATCCCCGGTGGTGGAGAGATGGGGGGGTACCCCCTTGAGCAGGTTACTTTACTTGGCAGCCAGAACCAGCTGTACTATGGGGGCGCCAGAATGTGTTTACAAAAAACGAATATGAAAACTAGGGCTCGATGTCTCCATGACACATCCCGAAACTCCACACACACCGAGTGGCCTACTGGGCCTAACACCAGCGCCTCCCTTTCCTCAGCCAGGCTCAGGACCCCGTCCCTCCAGACTGCAGGAGGAAAAATGACTTTGAATGTCCTGTCTGTGGGTCGGCCCTGTGTCAGATCTGGGAACTGCGCACACACAACCACAGCCCCTTCCCCCAGACACACAGGCAAACAGCTGGCTGACCTGCTGCCCGACCCGCTGCCCAATCACGCACATCTGCCCAGGCAGAACGTTGCCGACGTGCGTTTACGAAACGACAGATAGCTGAAGAGGGAACAGGGTCAAAAGCCTCTCAGATGGATTCATTCATCAGGAATTCTGGAGGTTTCCTTGCCTTTATGTGTCTGTCAGAATTATATATACTTATAATTTTTTGAGACACTTGCATTTATACAGATTCTGCTTGCACATGATTGTCAATGAATGACGATGTCATTATCCAGCGCCACGCTCGAGCACCTCCTCTCTTCCTTTATCCATCTCCCTCCCCCATCACTCTGCCGTTAAGAACCTACTGGGCTGGATGAGCTGAACGGTACCCCTCTTGTTCAGGACTGTTCTTATCTCTGTCTGACCCCTTGCCTCTCTCCCTCAACCTCGAGATGTTCCAGCTGTCTCCAGCTGGGGGGTGTAAACACTGGTGTAAACGCCTGCCCTGGTGTAGTCGAACACCAGACCTTGTCTGCAGAAGCCGTGTCGGGTGCAGGAGGGTGACACGTGCCCCCTGGTGGAGATCAGGGCTGGAGGCTGAGGGGTGTCAATCCCATGCTGCCCCAGCCCTTGGCTGCAAGGGGGCCTGGCGGCTGTGGTTGTGGTCGGGCCAAGAGCAGGTGTCCCACTGGGAGAGGGGCTGGAGCACCTGGAGGAAGGTGGCTGCTGGCTGGACAGCTCTTCCACACACTCACCCACGCCCGTGTCCCTCCCACCGACTCGCCATCTTCACTCCCTGTCCCAGACTCTCCCTCTGGGCCCATGGAGAAGGAAAGGATGCCTTTTTGTTTCTAGTTATTTCCAGTGTGGGGAAACCAGTCTGGCAGAAGACTGGCAGTAACACCATGCAGAATCCCTTTAAATTCTGATTGTACTTTTTTCTATTCCTTTAAGAGTGATTAGTAATTGTATTTTTACTGAATTTATTTTGACATCTTTGCTGCTACTTTGATTCATGTTCCTAGTACAGGAGGTGATTTTCCAAGTGCATTGTGGTCGATGTTGGGTGTAAACCAGGGTAGGGTTCTATGTGTAATTATGAAGCACTTTCAGCAGTTCCTGTTTGATTTATTCTCAGATTAGTTGCCGCCATTACTTTTTTGTGCTTTTTCCTCAAGAGAAGGTCAACCTGAAATTAAGTAGCTACATTTTAGACACAAAGGATTTGCATTATGAAACACTGGCTTATCCCAAAGCCTTTGACTCATTGTACACAGTCTTATGTGAAACTCTTGATACAAGGAGCTAAACTACTCAACCCAGCAAGAAAAGTCTATAAGCAGAGCAAACCGGGAGTGCTTAATTCAGTCAACTTAATTTACCAGGTAAAAACATAAACAATTGTATCAAAACAGTAGGCATCGTGCAGCTTACATTTTAATGATTCAACCAAAGCAGAATTTTAGAAATGAAGACGGCTTGTCAGATAAAGATCAGATGTTCAAATATGCAGTGTACATAAGTCATGTTGTCACTCAGATCACTCCAAGCACCTCTTTGAAGACAGGAATTGCTGTTGGCTAATGAATCCATACAACCACATGAGAAAGCATGATGTCACTCATTTTTGATCTGCCCTTTCTTCTGCACATGGCCTCTCAGTCTCATCAACACCACATTGTATGTCTTCCTGTGCAAGGCAGCATAGGAAAAAAATCCTTCTCCACCCCTCCACCTCATCACATGCTTCGCCCAGGGCTTGAACAAGGGCATGCTGCTCATAGACTGTCCACCTCCAGGCTGGAGAGAATTTCTGTTGGCTTTGGAAAAGGAGAATAAGGAGGCAGGAACATGCTCATACACTGTCGGTGCGCAGCAAACCATAGTTGCATCACCAGTGCACAACCGAAGTTTGTTGCTCCTGACCACACATGTCATTTCTGCATCTAGATGGACAAGCGGCCTGGGTTGAATTGCTCAAGCTCCGACACCAGTCTCAGATGCTGCACTGCTGCTGTCCCAACACATCTCGTACAGCGCAGACCGATTACATTCTGCCCAGAAGGTTCTCACATTTCTAGGGCCTGTGTAGGAATCTGCTGTTGGCCTCTCGAGTTAAACACTCATTCGATGACTGGAGAAGAAACACATCTGTTCTTCCTGCACAATCACATCTCAAGGCCTTCACTTATTCTTCGTTTTTTCCTATGAAAAGGAACCAAAGTGATCTTTATAGGAGGGCCTTCTCAATCCATCCATTGGTCCGATTCCACAGAATGCTGCGCCGAATACAAGACAAGGCACCACAGCCTCTTGCTCTGCAGGGAGAATAGAGCCTCCACCACTTGCTCGTCTCCTTCCACTTTTCTTGTACTGCAGAGTTCAAAATATCAGTCAGGCACTAGTGCAACGACAGTATAACGATCACAAACGACTCTACAACAACACTGCTTTCACAACAGCTGACTCACTAGTTCACAGCCCATTCTGCTGATCGGCGCTACAGCTGAGCTCCTCGGCGTGGCTGTCTCTGAAAGAGATAGCCTAATAGGAAACTGGCAGGCTTCTGTGCTGTGCTGTCATGATGATCAATGCAGTAACCTGCCAGTGTCACACAGACAAATCAATTGCCCAGAATGGACCACATGTGTGAACAGTCCTCAGTGTGATTGAAAGAAATGCAATCACACAGGAGTGTGGGCCAGAGTTGGTTTGGAAACTAAACGATTGAATGTTTCACATTTGGTATTTAAACTCTAAAGTCTAAAGACTAAAGTCTTGAGGTTTGCAGCTCAATTTGGCACACTGTATTTAGAGTTTTGTACATACAGCAAGAAGACCGTTGTGTATAATGAGTCAAAGAAAAGGCTGTAATCCAAGTGTTTGTCTGAAGTTGTCCTAAATTATCCTGCACTGCCAGATATTAAATTCTAAAGCACTGTAAATTACAACAATGTAAAATTCTAGATAACCACTGCATACAGGCAGAGCCAGTGTAAAACACTGGATTATAACTGTATACAAACAACACAGGTGTAAAACACTGGATTATCACTGTATACAGGCAGACTCACTGTAAAACATTGGATTATAACTGTGTATGGGCAGAGCCAGAGTAAAACTCTGGATTCAAACTGTATACAAGCAATGCCACTGTAAAATTTTGGATTATCACCGTATACAGTCAGACACACTGTAAAACACTGGATTATCACTGTATACAGGCAGAGCCAGAGTAGAACTCTGGAATATCACTGTATACGAGCAACGCAGGTGCAAGACACTGTATTATCATTGTATACAGATCAGACAGACCCAATGTAAAACACTGGATTATCACTGGCAAACAGTCTGGATTTAGATGCTCAATTTCCGAGATGTAGTTTTACTCCATGATAATAGGAATTCAGTGGCACGACAGTTAACTGTTACAGTTAACCTTACAGTTCAAGGGTACCTGGTTCAACAATGGCCTTAGATACACATCTGTAGGGTGTTTGCATGTTGCACCTGCATTCATAGGCCATCCTGTTAGGTTATCTGGCTACTTTAAGTTGATCATAATGTCCACAACTGCCCATGTTATCCCATAACATCAATCATTTATCCGTGCGGGATCACTGATGCGAATCCAGCCACACTTTCCCAACACACACCTGCGAGATCACGGTGAGCTCGGGGCAGAGGCGGCGGTCCAGGCGTACGGAGATTCTTGGGAACCTGCTTGTCAGGTGGTCATCACAGCGTGGCCATGTCATGTCCGCGCTCCCTTTTGGAATTCTATCCGAGCTGGGAAATATGGGGAATATGCATGGCAGTGGGATTATTCCGACGAGGGATAGGGTGAATTGTAAATCCAATAATATTGATAGGGTTGATTGTAAAGCTACCAGAATGAATAATATTAAGATTATTAACACATTAATGATGATCATAGCAGTAAGAATATACTGAATGAAACGTTGATGCGTTTTGTTGCCGAAATGTCAATGGATTTCTGTATAAAGAAAATAATTAGCTTTTTTTGGTATTGTAAAATATTCTGTGCACAGCCTATTAAAATGGAAACTATACAATACTCAATTAAGCTTGTCTTTCTCCTTCCTTCCAATCCTATGTGCTTGATACAGTACATTAGGATTTTACTGAAAGTTGCATCCAGAGAAGAGGACAGATTTATGTCCAGTACAGTAGGTACAGGTACAGAGAGTTTATGTCCAGTATAGTATAGTAGATAGTTCATGTCCAGTATAGTATAGTAGGTACAGGTACAGAGAGTTTATGTCCTGTATAGTGCAGTAGATAGTTCATGTCCAGTATAGTATAGCAGGTACAGATAGTTTATGTCCAATATAATATAGTAGGTACATGTCCAGATAGTTTATGTCCAGTGTAGTATAGTGGGTACAGATCCATATAGTTTATGTCCTCCATAGTAGATACAGAACCAGAGAGTTTATGTCCAGTATATAATAGTCTATATATTTACTTCATACACAGCCTTCATTTCAGGAGCCCCTGCTCGTAAGAAAAGGGAACGCCGCTGTCTACGGAGATGGTCACTGTGAGCCCGCTTGCGTTAAACACCTCGCCCTCCCCACCCCGCCAGGCCTGCAGTCCCTCCAGCGGGCAGCAGAGGGCGCGGTTGGGCAGGCGGTCGCGCCACCTTGAACAGCAGGAGAGGCGGGTGCGTTGCAGAGCGTCGGCTGTCGCAAACCGCCAGCCCAGCGCCTCGGCACGCCTTGATTGCGGAACGACGTCTGCCCTGATACAAAGACCACTGCGAATGATCGTAGTCACTGATAAAGTGTAGTAACGAAGGCATCATCGAAAACAGTGGGAATCTTAGCAGCCTCGTGGGTAAACGCTGGAACTGTACCGTGGTAACCTGTTTTGAAAACCGGATGATTCTTGTCTTATTACCGAAGACGGTGTTTTAAAATTCGTGCGATTTTAAAAGATTTTGCACTCGCTGTTTGCGAGTATTTACTAGCTCGGTGACCTCGGTGGCCACCGGCAAATATACACGAGCGCGCGCGCTCCCGACGCCTTGATCCTGCTGGATTCGCGCAGTCGCGTGACGTCGTGTTAAATCCCTGCGGGTTATCGCGTTTATCCCGCGCGAGCCGACGCTCTTTGCGGGCTCTCCCCACACCTGCTCTCGTGCCGTACGTCCCGTGTGTTCCTGCTACTCTTGAGTCGTGCGCTATACTGCACTACAGAGACTTCCACTGTTATTTAACTGCTTCACTTTGCTTTGCTTTGTTTTTACCCTGATTTCACCGTTTTACTAGACTAGAACAGTCCCGTTACAATAGGGGCTACAGTCCCAGTACAGGAGAACAGTCCTGTCACAATAGGGGCTACAGTCCCAGTACAGGAGGACAGTCCCGTTACAATAGGAGCTACAGTCCCAGTACAGGAGAACAGTCCCATTACAATAGGAGCTACAGTCCCAGTACAGGAGGACTGTCCTGTTACAATAGGGGCTACAGTCCCAGTACAGGAGAACAGTCCTGTTACAATAGGGGCTACAGTCCCAGTACAGGAGAACAGTCCTGTTACAATAGGGGCTACAGTCCCAGTACAGAACAGTCCTGTTATAATATGTAACTATGATAAACGTTTAACATTCTTTTGCAGTAAATACTCTTCCAGCTCTGCCCTGAAGAGCAGCAGCTCAGCACCAGCGGCTGGAAGACTGGAGCGCACCGAGCCGGTTGGACAGCCGGCCTGTCACTCAGAGGAGGCCAGTCTGATGTCTGGAATGAGTTTTCGGGTTGCGGTGGGCGGGACAAGCGGCATTGGTCGTCAGCGATTTGCCAAGGGGGCTCCGGGGAGGTGCTGCGGAGACGGATTCGCTTTAAATAGACAGCCAGACGCGTTTTTACCGCAGTATCCCTGATCTCCGTAAGGAAAGCCGGCTCTGTGCTCACCGGACCTTGGAGGGGGGGGAGGGCTTTTAAGGTGCAGGATTGCGGATTGAGGGTGTTTTTATTTTTATATACATATATATATTTCGGGGTTTGCTGTCATTTTCTACCGGTGAACGCAGAAAAGAAGGAGGAGCGAGAAAGACATTGACAGACCTCTCATAATCCTAGTGTAATAATAGTTCCTTTAAACCCGTGAAAAAATACAGCAAGCTGCTTATCTCATATTCAACTGCAGGCAGCGACCCCAGGCGAGTCCCTGAACCGCAGGCTGTGAAGCCCCAGACTGCAGCTGTTACACCGGGCTCTCCGGGGTGTTATCTGGTGCCGCCAGACGTCCATCGCCAGCGGACCCGCTTGTCCGCGGTGTAGACCCTGCGCCTCTTCAGGAACACGGGGGCTGAGAGAGAGAGAGAGACTGCCGCTGGAACTGTCCCCCGGAGCGCCGTCGCTGAGAGACACCCCGCCAGAGCACAAGCGGGGCCACCATGTCGAACAAGAAGGAAAAGAAGACCTGCGGACAGTTGCTGGACGAGTGGAAGGGGTTTGTGTGGAACCCGAGGACGCACGAGTTTCTCGGCCGGACCGCGAGCAGCTGGGGTGAGTCTGTCTCTCTCCGTCTCTGACTGTCTCTCTCTCTCCCTCCCTTCTCCGCCTGTCTCTCTCTCTCTCTCGCTCCGTCTGCCTGTCTCTCCCTCTGACGCCCGGCTCGTCTCTCTCTCTCTCACACTCTCTCACTCTGTCTGTCTGTCCCTGTCTCCCTCCCGCACCGAGAGGCGGGTTCGCGGGCAGGTTCGGGCTGGGAATCCGGTCCAGCCCCTGTCCGGCCGGTCCGTCCGTCTGTCCCGGTGCAGGTCCGCCTGTGCTCCAGGCTGCGGACATCACCGCTGCGGCGCAGGGGCGGAATCGGGGACGCGCAGCCCGACTGCAGAGGGCTGGAGCCGCCGCTCCGCTGTGTCCTCGGGCAGGGCTGCGGGCTGCGATGATCGGCGGGTCTGCAGAGGGACTGCGGCACTCTGCTCTATTCGCGGCCGTCGGCGGTTCGCCGGCGGCTCCTCTCCGTCGACGAGCTCATTCATCGACCGGTCGCCTCGTCGCTCTTCGGACACGAGCCCCCCCCCGCGAGCCTGCTGCCTGGGGTCGATGCCAGTTTGTTAATTATCTGCTAAAGCGCTGATGGGTTTTCTTGGGCTCGACGGGCCTCTTTAATGCGGATTATGAAACCGCCCCCCCCCCGCTCCTCGCTAACCCCCCCAGTTGCTCATCTGTCTCTCTCGCCCAGATACCAAGATTTCCCCACGCTCGGCTCGTATTCGCGTGGACACTCGCGGGAATGTGCACCACAGCAGGTGCCGGGCGCAGTTTTTGGCGGGCGGTGTTTTTTTTTGGGGAGGGGGACAGTCGCACGTAGCCGCCTACAGACAGATGGACAGAGACGCCGCGCGCCCCGTGTCCTGGGAACGCGCGAGCCTGGCAACGGGACCCCCGGTGTCTCGCCGCTTCGCGCGGGTATGACGCGGGGCCCCTCGGCTGGACCCCCGGTTCGGCCGTGACTGTCCTCCCTGTCTCTCTCACACACACCCGTCCTCAAGCCCGGGGCCGGCGGGTTCCGGACGCCCGGCGCGGTTCGCGGAGCGAGCGGAAGGCTTCTCCGTGGGCTGTTGAAGCAAACCCAGATCCTGTCGGGGTGTCGGTGTGAACGGCAGTGGAAGGGTCACACCGTGTCCGGCCTCTGCTCCGAGAGAGCCCCGCTGGTGCACGAGGAGGCGTCGTCAGCAGTGCGCTGTCCCCGTGCTGAGCAAGGAAAGACGACATGTCGCAGTTTCGAAATTGCGCCTTTTAATGGCTTTGCAGCTGCTAATCCTTTGACTAAAACCGAGGGTGATTGGGCTCTCTGTGCTGCCTTCTCTCTCTCTTTCACTCTCTCCATCCTCTGAACTCTCTCTGAACCCCCCCCCTCTCCATTACTCCTTCTCTTTCTTTCTATCACTCTTCCTCTATCCCTCTTTCCATTTTCCTCTGTCTCTCTCTTCCTCTCTCACTCTTTCCATCTTCTTCTGTCCCTCTCTCTCTTTCTCCATCCCTCTCTCTCCCTGTCTCCATAACTCCTTTCTCTGTCTCCCTCTCTCTCCATTACTCCTCTTTCTCTCTATCACTCTGTCTCTCTTCCTCTATCCCTTTTTTCATCTTCTTCTGTCCCCCTCTCTTTGTCTCTCTCTTCCTCTATTTCTCTTTTCATCTTCTTCTGTCCCCCCCTCTCTCTCTCTTCCTCTATCCCTCTTTCCATCTTATTCTGCTTATGACACTCTGCGGCTGGTGTAGCCACTGTTGCACGGCAGATAAATAATTCAAATTTTAATTGAATTTTGCCATTAAACTCACAGGGTTATTCATTCAGGAGTCTCCTCCCCCGGCTCTCCCTCGCAGATGAGTGACGTCTGTCAGGAGCCTCTCTGGGAAAGGGGGGCAGTAGGGGGAGAGGGGGCAGTACAGGGTGAGGGAGAGGGGCAGTAGGGAGAAGGGGCAGTACAGGGTCAGGGAGAGGGGCAGTAGGGAGAAGGGGCGCAGTACAGGGGGAGGGAGAGAGGGGCAATACAGGGGGAGGGAGAGAGGGGCAGTAGGGAGAGGGGGCGCAGTACAGGGTGAGGGAGAGGGGCAGTAGG